CCCCCCCCCCCCCTTAGGCCAGCCCACAAGAGGTTTGTAGCCCCGTGGCCACTTTAGGAGGCTTAATACTTAGGTGCTGAAGGTTGGGATCTAATCAGATGTTGGCTTGAGATAGGTGATAAACAGAAGAATGGCAGGGACGAGCGGTTGCCAGTTTTGTTCTGCTCCTATTATTGCCCTTAACAGGAGAGACCAGTTGAGATGACTTGGGCTGCCTGGAAATCTTTGTTCCAGCCCCTGAACTACAGCTGACACGGAGCAGCCTGGAGTTCTGCATCTGCATTGTATTAGGCGTCTGTGGGCAACACTGTGACTGCGAGCCTGCTCAAGTTAGCTCTGCAAATAGACATTGTCCGTAATAAGCAGCTTTTTTCAAGCTGGTTGAATGTCAACAGAGAGACTATTTGATATTACAAGTTACTCAGAAAATTCATGGTTTGATTTTTCCCACTTCTACTGGGCATAAGAATGCAAAGGGGTCTCCTCTCATTTTACCCTCTGATGTGGAGTTGAGCAGAACCAGGATCAGATTCTTCCCCTACTTATGAAAATCCATTTATTAGAAGTGAAAGGCAGAGAATCAAAATCAGTGAGACAACTGAGAGAGACAGTAGCTCCTGCCACTGGCTCTCTTTAAATTTAGTTATTTGCAGACAGGCCTGATATATTGCCAGCAGACAGATGCTGGCATAAGGGGTGTGTGTTGCGGAGGGGGAAGGGGCTGTATTATGTAGTGAATATGCAGCCAGAAACCATTTGGAATAAAAGGCAGCAAAAGAAAGTTGGAAATACTGTAATCTTTTATTGAAGAAAAATGTTGGATATCAAATCATTGCAGGTGGGTCACAGGAGTCCTACAGCCCAGGTTTGCCTGTTTCTTCAAAACACTTGCTTACATATTTATGCTGCTCGCCCAGGGGTGGGCAAACTTTTTGGCCCGAGGGCCACATCTGGGGTGGGGAAGTTGCATACAGGGCTATGAATGTAGGGTGGGGGCAAGGGGTTGGGGCACAGGAGGGGTGTGGAGTGTATGAGGGGACTCAGGGCAGGGGGAGGGGGTGCAGAGTGCAGGAGGGGGCTCAGGGCAGGGGCTTGGGGTTGGAGTTCAGAAGGGGGATGCAGGTGCAGGAGGGGCTTGGGCTGCGGGCTCTGGCCTGGCGCCGCTTACCTTGAGTGGCTCTGCGGTGGCATCAGGGCTAAGGCAGTCTCCCTGCCTGCCCTGGCCCTGTGCCACTCCTGGAAGTGGCTGGCACCACATCTCTGGGGAAAGGAGGGGGGTAGAGGGCTCTGTGCACTGCCCTTGCTGCAGGTACCTCCCCCAAAGCTCCCATTGGCTGTGGTTCCCCGTTCCCGGCCAATGGGAGCTGCGGGGGGCAGTGCCGGCAGGCGAGAGCAATGCATGGAGCCCTCTGCCCCACCCCCCAGGGACGTGGTGGCACAGGGCCAGGGCAGGCAGGGAGCCTGCCTTAGCCCTGCAGTGCCACGGGGGTGGCAATCCTGTGGGCCAGATCCGGCCCACGGGCCATAGTTTGCCCACCCCTGTGCTAGCCCCATCAACTGGAAATGTAATAATGGAACAACATGCTGCAGTTGGCCACTAAAAACCCTTTATTGTCACTGGCACCTTTAAGTGCAATTTTATGAATTGTGGTCAGCTTTACCTTTGGCTTTCTGTTTCTGTGATCATCGCTGCCAACTTTCATATGCCCCTGCTGCTACGTGCCACATGGCTGTTGCTCCCACACGGCCCCTCACTCTCTCCTTGAGTCTCTGGAGCTCCATGTTTTCCCCATTGTCCATGTTATAGTTTTTGTTGTTGTTTATTCATTTCTGGTAATACCCTCAATGTGCTAGGTTCTGTACAAACATAAAGAAAAGCACAGTCCCGGCTGCTGTGATGTTCCTGATCTTGACTTTTCCTCCTGTGCCCTATCTTATGATAAACCTCAAGGTCCTTTCCATGTTCTCCATATAACACCAGCTGTGTTAGGTAACATTTCAGATAGCAGAAGGGCTCGTGCCTCCCTTTGGAAATGTCATAGGAAAGATGTTCACTCCACAGAGCATTTTGTCTAATCTATGGTATATCCCTAAGTTAAGTATCTAGGTACTTATCTGGCAGCCATCATCATAGTGTCTGTCCTCCAAACACCCCACTACTCCTCCTTCCCTTCCTTACAGAGCTATTGGGAAACTGGATTTGTCTGTTGAACTTTCCTCATTTGTCTCCCCTGTCTGCAGGGCCTAGGCTGCTAATTGGCCAGGTCATGTTACCTGTGGAAAGTGAGAAACAGCTTCACCCACAGCCCCACCTGGTTCCTTGGTAAGGAAGGGTGTTTCCATTGGGCAGCCACAGCTGTCAGTCACACCCACACCTGGCTTTGAACACTATTAATAGCAGCTGGAGTGGACCAGGTTTTGTGTGGGTGAGGAGTTGTGAGTTTTGTGCTTGAAGAGAAGTTGTTTTAAGCTTTAGCTTATTGCTCATACTTTACTGCAAAAACCTTGTAAGTGGAGGAATGGAGTCCCAGGTGCGCCAAAACTTCCATGCTGAGTGTGAGGCTGCTGTGAATCGCCTGGTGAACCTGGAGCTGTATGCCAGCTATGTCTATCTGTCCCTGGTGAGTGTTGCCTCTCTTTTCAGAGGCTAGAGCTGTTAGAAAGCAGACAGAAATGCCCTTTATAGACATATTAAGGTAATTGTTTGTAAGTGAACCATGTTTAATAAACTGAAGAAGTGAGGTTCTTACCCATGAAAGCTTATGCT